TTGCAGTTTTCGTGGTGAGTTTTTGGAAGTGGTTTGCCCCCTTTGTTGCTTTGTCCTAGGACTGAGCAAGGGGGACTGGCCTAGGGTCACCCAGTTGGCATTGTGCCAAAGGCAGGACTAGAACTCGTGAGTCTCCCAGTTTCTAGCCTGGCGCCTTCATCACCACTGGTCACTTTCTTTCCTACTTGTCATCTTTCAACCAGGTCTGATGTGATTATTTTAAAAAAAACAACAAGGAGCCTGTTGGCGTCTTTCCCAACCAGCACATTTTATTAAATAAGATTTCAACTCACTTTGGCAGAAAGGCTACTAGATTGATAGAGGATTGAAATTGAGGTGAGATGGAAAGTAGATTCTCCTTACTGTCTTGCTGGGTTCATCCTTGGTGACCATATTGATGTTTTATGGAATAGAATAGAATTCTTTATTGGCCAAGTGTGGTTGGACACACAAGGAATTTGTTTCGGGTGCCTAAGCTCTCAGTGTACATACAAGTAATAGTGATAATCACATGATCATGTACAACATGAAAATACATTCATCATAAATTGTGAAATACTTCTTCATAAATTATAAGATGCAACACTTAGTGATAGTCATAGTACTAGCTAAGCAAACAACATAAATCATACTAGGGTACAAAAAAAAACCCCATATAAATTGTAAGATACAAGCAGCAAAGTTATAGTCATAAGAAGATACGGATAGATAATAGGAAAGTTGAGGAATATCATAGTAATACAGCTTTACTAGTATTTGGACAGAGTTGTAGGAATTAGTTGTTAAGCAGAGTGATGGCGTGGGGGAAAAAAACTATCCTTATGTCTAGTCGTTCTGGTGTGCAATGCCCTATAGCAGGGGTCCCTAATCTTGGCAACTTTAAGACCTGTGGATTTCAACTCCCAGAATTCAACAGCCAGCAGGTCTTAAAGTTGCCAAGGTTGGGGACCCCTGCCCTATAGCGTCGTCTTGAGGGAAGAAGTTGAAATAGTTTATGTCCAGGATGTGAGGGGTCTGTAGATATTTTCACAGCCCTCTTTCTGGCTCGTGCAGTATACAGGTTCTCAATATTTTGATTATTTTGATGATGATGATATTTTTCTCCTGCCTTTTAAAATATATTTATAACTCAAGGCAGGAAACGTATGTAATTCTTAGAATCTCCTTTTTTCTCCACAACAGCAACCTTGTGAGGTGGGTTGGGCTGAAAGAGAGTGATTGGGCCAGAGGTATTATATTCAGTATTTGTCCACTAAAATCTCTTAGTGAGAGAAGGAGGGAGCCCTTCCCACCCCCACTAATACCAGAATACCAGAGTGGTTTTGTGCTCAGCTGCTTACAAAGGGACCCCGATTATCAGGGCTCCTTTGAGTATGTGTGTAGTACTATTCAGGGATTATTTGATGTTTTTTTCTGCCTTTTTTACATATAACTCAAGGTAGTGAGCATATCTACTACTCCTGCCTCTTGCTTTCCCCACAATAACCCTGTGAGGTGGGTTGGGCTGAGAAAGAAGGACTGGCTCAAAGTTCCCCAGCTGACTTTCCTACCAAAAAGAGACTCAAAAGTCCTCTGGTTTCTAAAACCAGCTCCTTCGCCACTATACCAAACTGGGTCTCCAAAACCAACAATATTGTTTTTATTGTTTTAAATGGTGCTAGCTGCCCGGATTCGCATTTCAAAATGGTTAGCAATACAACTCTGTTAAATAAAAGGAACTGAAATTGGTTACCTCTGAGACAAATTGCATTCAAGGAAAAGATGCTATCAGATTCNCTCTCTCCCTCCCCCTCTCTCTCCCTCCCTCTCCCTCCCTTTCTCTCTCTCTCTCCCTCCCTCTCTTGCTTTCTGCCCTTGGTCTACCAGTACTCTTCCCCCACTCAGTGTGTTTGTGTGTTTGTGTTTGTGTGTGTGTGAGAGAGAGAGACAGAGAGAGGGACAGAGACAGAGACAGGCACTTGCGCTTCCCTTTCTCTCTCTCTTTCCATCTCTCCCCCTCCCTCTCTATCTTTCTGCCCTTGCTCTGCCAGTCCTCTTCCCCCACTCAGTGTGTTTGTGTGTGTGAGAGAGAGAGAGAGAGGGAGAGGCACTTGCGCTTCCCTTCTCTCTCTCTTTCCCTCTCTCCCCCTCCCTCTCCCTCTCTATCTTTCTGCCCTTGCTCTGCCAGTCCTCTTCCCCAACTCAGTGTGTTTGTGTGTGTGTGTGTGTGTGTGTGTGAGAGAGAGAGAGAGAGAGAGAGAGAGAGAGAGGCACTTGCGCTCCCCCCCCCTCTCTCTCAGGAGAGGGGCCTTTAAGGCTGCAGACCTTCTGGACCTCCATCTTCTTGCAGGTTCCAACCAACTGCTTTGTATCTCGCCAAGGTCCCCGGGCTGTCAAAATAGCTGCGATAGGAATACGCAGATAAAGCAGTGTTACGCCGGCATTGAAGGCAAGCAGAGGCAGCTGACAACGTCTAGTCCTCCAAACAGAAAATTAAAAACAAAATTCCAAATTCATTACTTGAAAAGGGAGGAAGCCAAGAAGCTATCTTGAAATGAAAAATGGCCAAATATATAGACACATAAAAACAAAACACACACATCAATTTGGGGTTTGAGGCCAAAACAGGCCTCCCCTTTTAATTAAAAGGGAGGGGAATATTTATGGTTTCTTCCAATTTTTCCCCAGCAACTTCAAAGGACAGTGGGGAAAGACTAAAAGGAATATTGAACCTGGGGCCATTTGCAGGTGTGAAGGGGAGGGGAAAACTAGCAGCCCCCTCTCCTCACAAAGGGGAATTGAATAGGGCTTTTCAACCAGTGGTATGGGTACCACCTGTGGTACATTGGCACCTGGCAGATGGTACGCGACCATCCCAGAAAAGTGGTAGTGAGGGAGGGGAATGAGCTGAACCGGTGGCAGCACCGCACAAGCCTGAGCGAGAGATGGCTGGAGCTGCAGGGCTGTCAGGGCTCAGTGGATGCGCCAGGATCAGCGCTTCTTCGGGATTGTCAGGGCTCAGTGGAAGCATCAGGATCAGCGTCAGGCTCCAGCTGGAGCTCGGCGCTGATCCTGGTGCTTCTGCTGAGCCCAGAAGAAGCGCCAATCAGCTGGAATGTTTTCAGCCTCTCCAGGGTTTTGTGATTTACATTCAGATGCTTGGCAACTGATTCATATTTATGACTGTCACAGTGTCCCAGGATCATGTGAAGTGACCAAAACCTGCTGCAACCACCCAACAGACGGGGGGGAATAAAAACCAAACACTTCCCACCCCACCCCCGCTGCCAATCCTCAACAGAAATGCTCACAACAATGGAAACCTCGGACAGGAGGAAGAGCGCCGCCGGGTGGGCAGGCAGGTGTCCTGCTCGGCTGTGGCTTGGGGGGCAGTTTTTTCAGTGCCATTGTAACTTCGAACAGTCACTAAGCGGACTGTTGTAAGTCAAGGACTACCTGTACTTCATCACTTTTTTCCTTTTTTGATCATCAGGTTTTTGACACCTTGCTAGGCGACTGGTGGTACTCGGATGTTGCCATATCCTAAAAGTGGTACAATGGGTGAAAAGGTTGAAAAGCCCTGGAATAGTCCAAAGAGCCAGATTAAAGGAAAAAGAGTGAAAAAAACTTGCTTTCAGTTCTTTGAATTTTCTTTTCTTCCGTGGCTTTAGTTGTTATCAGATAAACTAGCCAATCGGAGAGATCAACCTCCTGTCTTATTCCAAAATTACCAAAACCTCTGCAAAAAAAATTACATTCCAATTTAATTACTTTCATTAAATCACTCTAACCTGTATTAGAAGACAGTTTCTTTTCTTACATTTATTCATTTATTTTTTATTTCTTATCTATAGAAGACTCATCAGAGAGATCAACCTCCTGCCTTATTCCAAAATTACCAAAACCTCTGCAAAAAAAATTACATTTCAATTTAATTACTTTCCTTAAATCACTGTAACCTGTATTAGAAGACAGTTTCTTGGCTTCCTCTTTTCTTACATTTATTCATTTATTTTTTATTTCTTATCTATAGAAGACTCCTCGGAGAGATCAACCTCCTGCCTTATTCCAGGATTACCAAAGCATTTTTTTTTTTTACTCACCAAGGCATCTGTTGCAATTTCTCCCACAGATCCCACCGCCAACGATGAAGCACAGGAGTCTTCCAGGTAAAACACCTAGGAGCGCTCTAAGAATCATGCTTCAGTCGTCGTCCCGGGCAGGGAAAGTCCTCGACTTACGACCGGTTGGGTAGTCCTCGACTTACGACCGGTTTAGTCCTCGACTTACGACCGGTTTAGTCCTTGACTTACGACCGGTTGAGTCCTCGACTTACGACCGGTTGGGGTCGCGGCATTAAAAAGGTTGAGAACCACTGTCTTAGACTGTACAGCTTTAGATTACGTACCATTTCATCATAAAGCTTTTGAACAAAAAAAATGTCCACTATTTTGTGAAAAAAAAGTGAACATAATGTGAAAAAAGCGGACTGTCCGCTCAAATAGTGGACACCTGGCAACTCTACAAGTTTGACACAGCAATGGTCATAAATAGGAGCCAGTTGCGCAGCTTCTGAATTTTGATCCCGCAACCACGGGGGATGCAGCAAAGGCAGTGAGTGTGAAAAAACAATGGTCATCGGTCACACGTTTCCGTGCCGTCGTAACTTTGAACGGTCACTAAATGAACCGTGGTAAGTCGACGACTCCCTGGCACCAGTGTTTCTCAACCTTGACAATTTTAAGGCATGTGGACTTCAACTCCCAGAATTCCACAGCCAGCAATGCTGGCTGTGGAATTCTGGGAGTTGAAGTCCACATGCCTTAAAATTGTCAAGGTTGAGAAACACTGAGAAAAGGGGCGGGCACTCGTCCACCCACTTAACCTCAGGCAGTTTTCGAGGACTGGGCAAAGTGAAAGCGGGGGCGGCAGCAACCCTCCTGTTTCCAGGAGCCTTGTCGTCACTTCCGCCCAATACACAGGGGCGATGAAGCCGGGGTCGCCTTCGCGGGACGGCTCGGGCTCTGCCCGGAGGAGCCCTTTCCGTTGGGCGCTGCTGTGCCTCGGGCTGTGGCGGTGGCAGGTCTCCGGAATGGCCACTCCGGACCAGGTAACAATGGCCGGCAGTCGCTCTAACCGCGGGGACAACTGCCTCCTCTCGCCGGGAGCGCCGCTGGGATCAGCTGAAGGTAGAAGCCGCTGCGGGCGTCTTCCTTCGGTCGCTTCCCGGATGCCTCCTGCATGGGGGGAGAAGGAGCTGACCGGGGAAAGGGGCTGCCTGGAGGGAGCACAGAAGCCCGGGTACCTTTGCTAGCTGCAAATGGACCGGAGGAGTCTGGAGATCGCCCGGGTAGCGACTCCCGCGACTCGGATGGTGACTCACAATAGCAGGCTGTGGAAGTTTAAAACGGGTTGCTTCCCTGCCCGGATGGTTGGTTCACACGCGCGCGGCTCTCTTCGGGACCGGTGTTTATCCCAACCGGCGTAGAACCTCATCGGAGTTGGAAGGGACCTTGGAGGTCTTCTAGTCCAACCCCTGCTCAAGCAGGAGACCCTGTCTCATTTCAGACAAATGACTACAGTGTTGGAGAACCCACAACTCTTGAAGGCAAGCCGTTCCCCTGGTTGACTTGTTCTGACTGTCAGGAAATGTCGCCTTAGTTTCTAAGCCGCTTCTTCTCTCCTTGGTCCGTGTCCATCCATTGTTTCTTGTCTTGCCTTCTGGCGCTTTGGAAGATAGGTTGACCCTCTCTTCTTTGGGGCAGCCCCTCAAATACCGGAACACTGCTATCGTGTCACCCCCCAGTCCTTCTTTTTACTAAACTGGACATTATACCCAATTGGTGCAACCGTTCTTCATATGTTTTAGCTTCCAGCCCCCAAAGTTATCATTGCTGCTGCTCTTGGCACTCTTTCCACTGTCTCTACATCTTTTTTACATATTTTAAATATATTTTATATATTTATTTTTATATATTTTAAATATTTATTTTTATATATTTTAAATATTTATTTTTATATATTTTAAATATTTATTTTAAATATATATTTATATATTTTATAACTTCTCTGGATGGATTTAGAATCCCACAGAGAGAATGGCCTGATGTATAAACGTTGTTCACATTGTGGTCTCAAGGCTGTTGTGGCGACTGCCTGAACTAGTCCTTGCAGTTTTCGTGGTGAGTTTTTGGAAGTGGTTTGCCCACTTTGTTGCTTTGTCCTAGGACTGAGCAAGGGGGACTGGCCTAGGGTCACCCAGTTGGCATTGTGCCAAAGGCAGGACTAGAACTCGTGAGTCTCCCAGTTTCTAGCCTGGCGCCTTCATCACCACTGGTCACTTTCTTTCCTACTTGTCATCTTTCAACCAGGTCTGATGTGATTATTTTAAAAAAAACAACAAGGAGCCTGTTGGCGTCTTTCCCAACCAGCACATTTTATTAAATAAGATTTCAACTCACTTTGGCAGAAAGGCTACTAGATTGATAGAGGATTGAAATTGAGGTGAGAATGGAAAGTAGATTCTCCTTACTGTCTTGCTGGGTTCATCCTTGGTGACCATATTGATGTTTTATGGAATAGAATAGAATTCTTTATTGGCCAAGTGTGGTTGGACACACAAGGAATTTGTTTCGGTTGCATAAGCTCTCAGTGTACATACAAGTAATAGTGATAATCACATGATCATGTACAACATGAAAATACATTCATCATAAATTGTGAAATACTTCTTCATAAATTATAAGATGCAACACTTAGTGATAGTCATAGTACTAGCTAAGCAAACAACATAAATCATACTAGGGTACAAAAAAAACCCCCATATAAATTGTAAGATACAAGCAGCAAAGTTATAGTCATAAGAAGATACGGATAGATAATAGGAAAGTTGAGGAATATCATAGTAATACAGCTTTACTAGTATTTGGACAGAGTTGTAGGAATTAGTTGTTAAGCAGAGTGATGGCGTGGGGAAAAAAAACTATCCTTATGTCTAGTCGTTCTGGTGTGCAATGCCCTATAGCAGGGGTCCCTAAATTCCCCAGCCAGCAGGTCTTAAAGTTGCCAAGGTTGGGGACCCCTGCCCTATAGTGTCGTCTTGAGGGAAGAAGTTGAAATAGTTTATGTCCAGGATGTGAGGGGTCTGTAGATATTTTCACAGCCCTCTTTCTGGCTCGTGCAGTATACAGGTTCTCAATATTTTGATTATTTTGATGATGATGATATTTTTCTCCTGCCTTTTAAAATATATTTATAACTCAAGGCAGGAAACGTATGTAATTCTTAGAATCTTCTATTTTCCCCACAACAGCAACCTTGTGAGGTGGGTTGGGCTGAAAGAGAATGATTGGGCCAGAGGTATTATATTCAGTATTTGTCCACTAAAATCTCTTAGTGAGAGAAGGAGGGAGCCCTTCCCACCCCCACTAATACCAGAATACCAGAGTGGTTTTGTGCTCAGCTGCTTACAAAGGGACCCTGATTATCAGGGCTCCTTTGAGTATGTGTGTAGTACTATTCAGGGATTATTTGATGTTTTCTTCTGCCTTTTTTACATATAACTCAAGGTAGTGAGCATATCTACTACTCCTGCCTCTTGCTTTCCCCACAATAACCCTGTGAGGTGGGTTGGGCTGAGAAAGAAGGACTGGCTCAAAGTTCCCCAGCTGACTTTCCTACCAAAAAGAGACCTGGGACTCAAAAGTCCTCTGCTTTCTAAAACCAGCTCCTTCGCCACTATACCAAACTGGGTCTCCAAAACCAACAATATTGTTTTTATTGTTTTAAATGGTGCTAGCTGCCCGGATTCGCATTTCAAAATGGTTAGCAATACAACTCTGTTAAATAAAAGGAACTGAAATTGGTTACCTCTGAGACAAATTGCATTCAAGGAAAAGATGCTATCAGATTCCCTCTGGGTTTTTGTTGTTGTTGTTGTTGTTTTGGCTACTGTAGACTTGAGACAACTCTTTCCTGCAGCTATTGTAAATGATTAATTAGTAAAGATAATGAGTACAGACTTTGCTGATGGAGGGACCTATCGTACTCTGGGCATAATTAGGGTTGATGTGTAGGAGAACAGAAAGTTCTCAAACTGACAGCTTCTGAGCTTGTGAGGGGGTGTCATGCTCAGAATTATTAGGGTTAAGGATTATAAAGCAAAGCCTCACTGGCAAATCAGTTCAAAAAATAAATTATGAACATTACAGTCCCAACACATCTACACGACACCAGGTTCAGGATGGCTATTCTAGGAAATTTATTTATTAAATGTCTCAGACTGCACAATTCCATGATAATGATACAGGTGGCTGTCAACTTATGACTTGTCATTTAGCAACCATCCAGAGTTAACAATGGTCCCCCCAGAGCGACTTATAACCTTGTTCTGCAGTCATGTGACTGAAATTTGGGTGCTCAGTAACCGTCTTGAATTTACGGCTCTTTGCAGTGTCCTGCATTCACATTCTCAATTACATTCTAATTAAGTCAAGGGACTTCCTGTAATTAGCAAGCTTGCTCACATAAGTCGAGGTAGTCCTCGACTTACAACCGTTTGTTTAGTGACCCTTCAAAGTTACAGTGGCACTGAAATAAGGTGACTTATTTTTCACACAACGACTGCAGTATCCCCATGGTCACGTGATCAAAATTCACATTTATGACCGTTGCAGTGTCCTGGAGTCAATCCCCTTTTGCGGGCTTCTGACAGGCAAAGTCAATGGGGAAGCCAGATTCACTTAATAACTGTGTTATTAACTTAACAACTGCAGTGATTCACTTAACAACTATGACCAGAAAGGTCATAAAATGAGCCAAAACTCACTTAATATCTGTCTCGCTCCCCAAAACAGAAATTTTGGGGTCAATTGTAATCGTAAGTCAAGAACCACCTGCGTGACATCCCTTTTTGAGTTAACCAGACTAGGCGTATATGTAATTTCTCTTGCAAAACATTTTACATTTTTTTTTTCTGTGCTGTGCCTTGCAACTCCTGCTGGGCTGGTTTATTTCCCCATCACATTTTTTTTTAACTCGTTGGTAAGTTCCTTTTTGACCTGTGTTCTGTTCTCTTTACCTTTTGCCCCTGTTTCCCATCCATCCTTGGGTAGACAGAAAAATAGACCGGCATATTTTTCCCTGTCTGTTTATCAGCCCCTGGTTTGTCTGTGATGCTCCTGCTGTCACAGTTTTGACACAGGATAAAGTTAAGGGGAAGAGCCCACTTTGAAATAAATTTATTTATTTATTTATTTTATTACATTTATATCCCGCCCTTCTCCTTACGGACTCAGGGCGGCTAACAATCAGATAAAATACAAAAATATAGTACACATTTAAAATTAATTAAAAAGAAATATTTAAATCTGATCCGATTAAAAGTGATTAAAACCCCTTTAAAATCCCTTAGGCCAGTCCCGCAAGCTGGAACAACCATGTCTTGAGGGCGCGGCGGAAGGAAGGGAGATCAGGGATCACCCTGATCTCTGGGGGCAGTTCGTTCCAGAGGGTGGGAGCTCCCACAGA